AATCAATTTATCATGATTAAATTATAATATATAATATAATTCCTGAAGAAATAAAACAATAAATTGTCCCTCTTAAATTACACTATGGTACGAACATTTTCATCGATATTGAAAAATCACGATCGAACAAGACAAAGGTAAATTTCCCACTTTGAATTGAAAATCGTTAAAAACATTTCTTTATTAACAAGGTAATTTCAAAAATTTTGCGGGATCCCAAGCTTTCAAAATAACACAAAACTGGTTATAACTGATAGGCTGGCATTCGCTGAAATTGGCTGAATTGACGTTCAAAGGTTCAGTAGTAGAAATTTTTGAAGCTACTTTATTATTTGATTGTGAAGTATTCTGTGTGTTTATTTCGTTTTCTTTATAGCTTATTCAAATATAAAATATTTCACATGTATAAAATCTATGCAGCCAATATATAAAATCTATTCAATTTTCCAGAAATGTCTTCATATATTGTTTAATTTCTTAAAAACTGAATATTCAACAATGAAATACTCTCAAGCAAGTTATTGAAATATATCATATCTTCTAAATGCTATACAATGTCCAAAACAAGTAATGCTACCAACGCTAGACCAAGTTGGCGTCATCAGGAAGTTGGATTATATATTGAATTACTCAAAAATATGCGGGGACTCCGTCAGACACAGCGCGTTCATATTGAAACGTCTCCTGTACACTTCATCGCTGCTCAATGCTGCCTACTCTGTATACTTCATGGCTGCTTAATACTTCATGACTGCTTAATGCTGCACACCCTGTATACCTCCATGGCAGACATGTTTATTCTTTTACGTTAGCAGCCATGTTATTTTTTCTTTAACGCTGCACACCCTGTATAACCCTATGACTGCCATGTTTTTTTATTCGATGAATGGCAACCATGTTTTTTTTTCTTTAACGCTGCACACCCCATATACCTCCATGTCCGCCATGTTTTTTCTTTAACGCTGCACGCCCTGTATAGCATTTGAATGAAGCGTTTTGAAACAACACCCTGTATACCCTATGGTTTTTGGAAAAGCAGCCGCCATGGGGGGAATCTATATATTTTCTTGCTGTTTATGTGAACGAAGTATTCTGTGATTTAAAATAAAAGAAATGTTGATTGTAAAATCCATGATTTAGGTTCATTTTTATTTCCCTCATTTGAATTTAATCATATACGATACCAATGAATATCACGCATTCATCTCTTTATACATGCTCTTATGTTGTGTGAGAGAATGTATAATGAATATTTTTCTCGTTTAAAATATCCTTTTCATCCTCTTGAAAATAAGAAAATACAATAACATTAAATTCATTTTGAACTTGTAATATTTTTCAAGTTTTACTGATTTCTATGTTTTAACTACTATGCGGAGTCCTAAAAACATGTAGAATATAGGTAGATCCTAATCGGAGAACAGTGTCGTTAATAGGATATAACTTAGTTCTAGACACGAAATGCGACAAGTATTCATGTGAGGCGAGTGCTCTCTATGCCACTTCATTGGCAGGCTTAGCTACTCGACCATTGGCTACAAGCTGCGTCATTTGTCATATACTGAAGAAGACTAATTGTACGATACATAACCTTAGTTTATGAATTGGTTTTTATTTTCTAATGAATCAATGATATTTTCGTAATTACTGTTTATTTACTTCAAGAAGTATTATTTTTTTCTGAAAGGTGTTCAAAATGGTAAAAGAGACTAATCTGAAAAAGAAACGTAAAACTACCAATTCAGAAGCTGAAATCGAAATTGATATCTACAGAAAAGTAATTGCCTTTGAAGAAAAAGAAGCTGAAAATCGCCAAAATGAAATCGATGCTAGCATTCATTTCGAATCGTGTAGAGACATCAAGGATATGCTGGGGGAAATCTACAAACAAAAACAAGAAGATCCCTCAATGAAAAATTCCAACAAAGAACTGCAAACTGATATATTCATTAAACTATGTATTATTAAGAAATTGAACAGATTCGATAAGATCAGGCACGTTTTCGGAAGAGAAACTATGGCAGGCGAAAAGCAAAAGTGCGATAGCATCAAACTGAGCTATCAAAATCTGGTTTATGAGCTGCATCATCTGGTAGCAGAAACCAATAAGTGTCTTGCTTTCAAATCTAGAGATGAAGACATTGAACTGGTGCCATTTGAAGATTTCATGAGGGATGCTCCGTCCTCCTTATCAAAAAAGTTCGATAGTTTTAATCCTCAAGACAGAGAGCAAGAGCATAGCTTACGTTTGGCTCGTTTGGAATGGGAACTTATGCAGCGTAAAAACCTAGCCCAGCTATGCAAATCTCTTCAAGAGGAGCAAAAGAAAATAGGTCAGGTTCTTGTCGATCTAAAAGAGAAGCTGAATGCACTTCGTCCCCTACTTCTGGATGTAATAAACTCTGCTAAACCGCTCCAAGAACACCTGGATATATCCTCAAAGGAACTGCGTGCCGAGCACAAACTATCTCACCTTCTTCCCGATCCGCTTTATATATTCTATGTCAATATCCTATCGTACACTAATGTTTACGATCTGAGCTTGAATGTGGAGATACTTGGAGATGTGGAGGAAGCTGCCCAGTGGAATGAAGTACAGGACCGCGATGACACACTTGTCGAGGATGAAGGTTCTGAGCAAGAGGCTGATACCGCCGAAGTTGAGGAGGTTGTGGAAATGAAAAAGAGGCGTCACAGGAAATCATTGCATCAAGTCGATCCAATGGAGGAGAAAAAAAAATCGCTGTTAGAAGTTCACCCCTTGAGTGTGGAAATTACTGCAAAACTGAACTGTGGAACATCAGTGGTGGCTACTTTTCGGTACTGTACCAAGTTGAAGATTGTTACAGTAACCTCTAAAACTAATATTTCTCCTACTATCACGGGTCATGCAGCTCGAGAAGTCCTCTCTGGAGAAAACATTCTCAGCGAGCTTGTGAAGGGAGATTTAGGCTTGGACAGTCCCAACCCAATTTCTAAGTTCCAAATAAAGAAAGTAGGGGTGACTTCTTTCCAGTCGCTTGTGCCCCAAATCGGTTACGCCTACCATTGGGCTCAGAGGGTGTGTGGCATGGATTTTCTGACAAAACAGGTGAATTGCCAAGAAATAGGAAACTCGAATGTAGAGAACATTGTCAAAATACTGTTCAAGCGCCTAGAAGCAAAGTACAACTTAGCCTGTCAGCTTCAGATGTTAGAACAGAATACATTACCAAAATTTCCTGACATGGAGAAGTATCCTTCAAATCCTCAAACATCTTTGACGAAATGGTCTTCAATTACCTACCAGAAGTACTGTCAGTCAAACTTCACTCAAATGTTTGTTGAAGATGAATTTGTGTCTCCCGCAGATTTGTTTTACTCTTTGGAGCTTACCAGAGGAAATGCCACGTTGCATGTTCTAATTGCTATCAAAAACAACTACCCAGAAACCTCACCTCTGTTTTCTCTCTGCCTGAACTTCAACGGTGTTTACGATTCAAGTAATAGCGATGAAATAAGAGAGCTGGAGATGATGGTGAATGTGAACCAAGAAAATGATAGTGTTCGCTCGGCATGGGTTCTATCAGCTCGTCTGACTCTTTTATGCTCTTATTTGGATGTGTATTTGGAATCCTCCGATGGCAAGGCTTTCCCGCAGAGTGTTACATTTGTTAAGAATATTTGTGGAAGAAACAGGAAGAGGCCTTATAAGTTTAGGAAGATGGGAAACGGAATATTCACACATTACTGACTCGATTTTTAGATTTGTACATTTTATAATTGATTTTAAGTTTACGAATACATTTTTTTTTAATTTGGAGACTGTACATTGCTTTCCATATAAATGTGTGTTGTTTTCCCTATTTTTCAGTTATTTTTTCCATAATCCCGAAAAACTCAGGTTTATACTGGGTAAATCAGCATATATAACATAAGTATAAAAAGAAACTTATCTAAATCATAGAACAAAAAAAGTACGTTTGAAGGTTATTTACAATTTTTCATGATGAATTTCACTAGTTCAGACTTCCATTGTCTAATATATAAAATTATTTGAAATCCCTGAAACAACTATTGTATTGTTCTATTGTTAGTATCTACAATCGTCTTCGGGTGATGACTGGGTTTCAGGGATTTCAAATCATTTTATATATTAGACAATGGAAATCCGAACTAGTGAAATTCATCAGGTTGATTTTCGCAACTTTATTTTTTCTTGAAAAAAGATTATATATTCACAGTATAAATAAGAACTAGACAGTTTGATGTGATTTTACCGCACGCGGACTACTTTATGCCCAGCAGAAGCTAAAGTGAATTTCAATCTCATTTCGATAGAAATCTATATTCCGATGGTTTCAGTAAATGTAAAATTTTCGAAACATATCTGAATTATACAGGAGTACACATTAGGAGTCGAGAATCCATTAACCACCATCATCAGACTATCAATATATCTATTATACTTATAGGTAACTCGTAAAAAGCTATCAATCTTCTGTATCTACTGATATCTCTATTATCATGTACATTTAAAGTAGCTTTCAGCATGGAATAATATGACCCCATGAAAGAGGGCTTAAGATATCTAGATTTTTCCAGAAAATAAGCAATAAATTATTCAATACAATACATTATTCCCGTTGCACCACCTCACGAATTCCTTATAAACTTAGATAGATATATCTACACAATAGCTTGAATAGAAAACATAAAATCAGACTGAACTAGGCTACCAATTAATTAATCCTAATCTGTGGCCTAGGTTGAATAGTGATAATGCAAAACCCAACAGAAAAACCCTATATACACAAAACTGTATTTCCATGATAATGTACATATATGTTAAATCATATGAAATAAGGGGGGCTTGAAGCATATACACATTTATGAAAAAATGAACAACATAAAAATTCTCCTTATTCTTCAAGGATTCCATAACACAAGCACATATATAGGTATATTTGACAGTAGGTATAGTTCATCTCTTCGATAACGCTAACTTGATTAGTGAAACGCTCCCCAAAAAATGTTGCAGTTCTGGGAGGAATGTTTGTGTTAGATTCATGCTATATGTTGAGTTTTCAGTTCTACCTTACCTTTCAAGAAGAATTATATCATATTTTCCAGAATGACCATTCAGTAAAAAATTGAATGGTTGTATATGCACAACCAATGTAAATGAACCTTAAAGGTAAGTGTATTTACTATATGAGAATTTAAAAAAAAACATTAATTATGTATGTACCTATGTATTAATTTAATATTACAAAGTTTACAGAAACGCACAAAAATTATATAGAGGAAAAGTGTACGAGATGATCCGTTGAGGGAAGATGATCCTTTTATATTGCACCCGAAGACGATTGTAGATACCAACAATCGAAACGTCGTGAACTAACGTGACTAGGAATTCAACAATTAGATAGATAAATTTACTATGGATAAACGTATTTATATCTGCAATAAGTAGAATATCATTTAAACTACAAGCATTATCCCTTAAGTGAATCATCTCGTATACACATCTCTACAATCTCTACAATACTACATCACAAAAATATATCAGCCAACATCTCAATCTGCAGATGTATTGAAAAAAATTATCAATATTCTATATGGTTTACGAACGAGATTGATTGAGCAATAACTTGTCACTTTGACAGTATGTAATGACATTGCGTTATTCCAAATAACGGATGACATGCGATAGAAGGTCGCCTGTTGATATTTGTTTCCGAAAGCCATATTGATGATCGCTCAAGATGTTGAAGGCTTCCAAATATTTTAGGATATATTATTGGTTTACGGCTTTCTCCATGATTTTTGATATCACTGATAGCAAAGCGTAAGGTCTATAGTTATTTGGAAGATTTTTCTTGTCCTTTTTGGGAATAGGCTGAACACCAGCAATCTTCCAACCCCTTTCTTCTAAGACAGGTTGAAATGTCAGCAAAATACTGGTGCGAGTTCATTTGGGCACTTTTTAAGTACGATGACGGGCACTTCATCAGGACCAGACGCCTCGTTGATATTGAGCCGTTTCAGTATTTGCCTGACTAGACGTTGTCAAAAAGTAATTTCCGGCATTGTGGATTCTAGTGTGGGAAAAGTGGGTAGTACCTTTCCCAGAAAACCAAACTATGGACTGGGTTTTTTACGCCACTGCCGGTAGGCGAGATTGTTGAAGTAGCGTTTTATTAGGTCATTTTGACAGCTTTTCACTCATTTTTACAATAGCACCGTTATAAGTAACAAACATTGAAACCTACCAAATATTGTCAATGTTTTGATTCCTGATAACTACAACTTATTTGTAATTTTCATTTACAACCAAACTTATTAGGTTAATGTTCTGAAAAGTGTTTTTGCAACTGTTTAAGTAAATTGAATAAATGATTTTGATGGTATATCACTTACCATTCAAAATTCCATCTCATCGCTACGGAGTTGAAGGCATAGTTTAAAACATACTCTATGTGTAAAATGTGCCCTCCTTGAAAGCAAACTCCACGTGTCAAAGCATTTTCGCTTCAAATTAAAAAGAAAAAGAGAAAAGCTAGGTGTATACTTTTCTTTCGATCACTCTGTATAAAGTTTCCAATGTCAAGAGGTAACACCTCGTTAATCCTCAGCTTGCTCAAGTTTCGATTTATGAACATTGTTCTCAGGGGGCGACTGGCGGTTGAAAAAAAATTACTCAAACACATTTTTTTTAACATTTCAAACACATTCACTAGACTGAATTAATGGAATCATTGTCTAAGTGACCTTTACCAATAAGTTTTATTCATAGTGACGGTTTTCATTTCTATATTGTAAAACCTACCTGAGACTACCCCTTCCAAAGGATGAATAATTTCTTCTTCGCAAGATCTCAACCAGATATTAACATCACAGTTAGGATATAATTTCTCAGATTGTGTAATCTCAATTAAAATAATTCAATCCTTCTACTTGTTAAAAGTTCAATGGTTAATTCCCATCTTGCTCAGATGCACATAAAAATTTGCTATGAAAAATAGTAGCAGCATGATACTGCTGAGCGGTATCATGCATACATGAAATTAATCGAGTAGATCACCTACAGACCGGTTTCGAAGTATGATATTTCATCAGTGCAGTTATTTTGGGGCATTATGCTCTGGTATACAGTGTGTAAAAGCTAAATGGAATACATTCATTATTTCGGTTACTGTACATATTTGAAAACAATCCCGAAACACGCCAAATTTAAATTATAATTTGACATTTTTCAACGTAAAAATGCCACCCCTACCTTCAACCCCCTTCGAATGACAGGTACAACCCCAACTTTTTTATATGGCAAGTATAGGTGTGTGATATATCACTTGAAAGGTCTCTTCATTATTCAAGAATGTTATCGCTTTCAAGTTTATTGCAACAATTAAGATTAAATAAATTAAAATCATGTGGTTACCGAAATTCGATAAAATACACTCAAAAACTAAAATGAAATGCAAAACTTAATGAAATGTAGAATACTAAAAAGAACTATGGATGTTAACAAAGTAGATGTTCAAAATATTCACCGCGAACGTCTTGTCAACATCCTAATCTCAAACAAAACTATCTTCTAACATTATTTAACATATCAGGCGTGACCGACCTAATGGCAAGCGTTATTCGTTCTTTTAAGTCATTCAAATCTGAAGGTTTATATTGCTCTTTATATATCCTGCTCAAACCATATCGTATTCACTGGAACTTGAGGGTTTCCTGGATCAGGATATAAATTTGCTAAACTTGCAATGACATCATTTTGAGGTAGTGCCAAATAAATATCGCCATTCAAGTTGCCCTCAATGAAAAAGGGACCAATGATATGGTTTCCTACAATCCCTGCCCAAATATTAACCTTTTGAGGGTATTGCGTGTGTTCTCTCATCCAGTGAGGATTTTCCGTTGACCAGTAACGGAAATTTTGCCGATTAGCATAACCGTTAAGAGACAAAGTACACTCATCAGAAAACATAACGTCTTCTAATTGCGGATGATAGGTATTGTTATCCAACATGTCCATCATGCATTTTCTCACAAAAATAAGTTCTTCTATTGAAATCGTCTTCCATGAGCTCCTGAGTAGGATTATTTTATGGGGATGCATTTTACATCCTTTTAATATGTTTACTATCGATATATGGCTAGCATTGAATGTAGTGGATGCCTGTCCACTCGATGTAGGTGGGTTTTCCACAAACTCAAGCATCACTCATTGCATTGGCAGCTGCTTTTTTTGTCTGCCCCATATGAACAAGCTCGCGAAACTGCTTCTCTATTTTGCTTATTGTTTTCTGAGATATGGGCGGTAAATTAGGAAATTTATTATGAAATAGGCGAGCTACTTCCTGCTGTGTTCAGATTTTATCTTCGTAATCAATAATTTGTAAAACTGTTATTTTATGCATTTCCGTTAATCTAACCATTTGTCAGACTTGAAGTTAACGAATTTTGAACTTAAATTAAACTACTGACAACTAATGTTGTAACTTACAAAAAAAGTTGACAAGGCGTTTTAAACTAACGTTGCCAAGGAAATTATTTACAGTTTTTTAAAGGATACTATCTACAAAGAACATTGCTATGGTTTTTGCTTACTTTCTTATTATCAATACCACAACATGAAATAAAAAAAGCCACTCAAAATGCAAAAGACCGAAAATGTAACTTCCAACCCCGGTCTCCCATAGAAGTGTCCGGCAAATATTGCGAAAGTACTAGTTCCAACAACTACGAATCGAACCACCATCAATCGACTAAAAGAGGGATAATCAATACTCTATTAGACCATGCTTTTGAGCTCTGTAATAGGAAGAAAGGTCTCAAGAAGGAAGTAGACATCATCAAAAAGGATATTCAATGGAATGACTACTCCAAAACGATGGTGGAACAGACTTTGGCTAAAAGACAGCAGGAGCCTCGCAAGGAAGAGAAGCCGTCAGAACCAGTGCTTGTACTTCACTGCATCAGAGGATTATCGGATAAGAAGAATTGGGTCCAGGTACAACATCAGAACCTGCTTTAGATCTGGAAACACTATCCGAAGCAGCCTCACGAAAACCAGGGCACAAAACGCGGACTGCGATTCCAAGAATTGCATTTACCGGATTCCCTGTGAATGCGGAAAATCCTATATCAGTGAAACTGAGAGGCCATTAAAAGTCGCATTGCCGAGCACAAGAAACACACACAGCAAGAGGAATCCAGTAAATCAGGAATAGCAGAGCGTGTTAGGATTCATCAACATAACATCGAGTGGTTCCAAGCTGAAATCATACACAGAGAGGAACATTGGTTTAGGAGGAAAATTAAAAAAGCTGCATACATGTTGTCCAGCAATGTATTCAACCAAGCTAGCATATAGATACGCAACATATGGAAACCCATAATTAAGCGAAAAATGGCCAACTCCCGCCAAACGGTCATCTCCCGCTAAACGGTGAAGCGGAAAAAAGGAAAGCAGAGATAAGTGAAAGTACTCGAATGACCCATAAATAGTCATTTCTCGGAGAATCAGTCCAGTCATCACCCGAAGATGATTGTGGATACTAACAATCGAACGTCGTGAAGTAACATGGCTTGGAATCTCTTAATTTTTTATTTTTTGTTCAATTGCTCTATTTTTACCTGTATTTCATTTCACTTTAGGGTTTTTTGTTTAATATAATTGTTATTTTCAGCTATTCCCTTTTAATTCTTCTTTTATTCATTCTTTCAGGGATTTCAAATCATTTTATATAATATCAGACAATGGAAGTCCGAACTAATGAATCTATTCTGATTGTTGCAAGCAATTTTGCCAAATTGTAGGTGAACGGCTGATGGGAAATGGTGATTTCCGTGTTTTTCAGATGAATGTGCATAGCATCAATAGACGAAGGTATTGGCTGGTATTTTTGGAAATTTCTTTCGAAGTCCTTTTTTCTTTCCGAAATTTCAACAGATGATATGCATTTTGATTTACTCCAGTTAGTTCTTAATGATATCATAGAGAATGATCCTGGAAGAAATTAAGAGAAAATTATCAACGAGTCTAACTCACAAAATGTGCGTGCTTATACACACAATAAGTTTCGATACTACTGGATAGGACGAAGAGTTACAGTTGAGTGGTCTTCTCGATCACCCGATTCAAGTCCTACATATTTTCTGTGGGGACATATGAAAAACGAAGTGGGCCGTGCTCTACCTGACTCAGTGGAAGATCTGTGAAATTTGGGAGGACTAATCATTAATTTATTTCTCCAAAATGTGTTCCAAAATGTACGATGCAGTTTATAGGAAATATTTCAAACATGAGTTGTGAAATACGATGCAAATACATTGTAATGATTTGATTATATTCAGATATCATTTTGCAAATTTTCTTTAATCACTCTTTCAATTCACTAAGGTGTGAAAAAACAATAACCTTACTTCTCTCTGCAGGAATCTCAGCGTTTTCCTTTGCGGCAGGGGAGACCAGGACAACACAGGAGTACTGGCACCGGAAGGGCACTTTTCATCACTGACGTCAAGCAGCTTTTTATTCGCGGAACTCATGGTCTGCAATGAAAAGATTCCCTTGTGAAACACTGTGTTATTATCCTAATGAAATTATTAGTGAAGGTCATCGGCGTGAGGGGCAAGGTCTACTTATAATCTAATAATGTGTTATGCAACAGGGAAAACGGTAGGACAGGGTGATTCTTGGTTCAGGAGATTTTCGCAGATATAATGCTATAAGTACTTCGATTTTATCAGGTATATTTCGATAGCTTGTTGCACAGTAAACGAGAATTTTTGATAGCAGTTACCTGAAAAATCGATCAATGTTGGTGTTCGGACTAGTCAATCGTTATTTTTTTAACTTTCTCAAAATTATTGTTAATGTCGAAATCGTCTTTTTTTATAAACTAACCATGAACAACCAAAACGACTATTTGANAGAATCTGTACCACTGATAAATTTATAAATTTTCGTAATTGGCCGTTTACAGGTTTATGATTTTGTTTAGACGTTTCCGAGTCTCAAAATATCCATTTGTAGATAGGCATTCATGAAATCAATCAATCAATCATGCTTTATTGTCCAAGATATCCTTATTGACAAAGCTAGTGAAACTTTATGAAGTCAACAATGTCAAAGTTTTAAAAAAATATTATAATTATGATATACAATGAACAATCATTGTATGGTTAAAAATGTAGGTACATATACGATTACACACAAATAAAACAATATATTTACCATTACAGATAATAAATAAATCATTACAGATATGTAAGCATCTGAAATACTAAGAGTTAAAATACATCATCATAATATTCCTAGTGGGCTTTTTTCAGAAGTACTCCTTCAACTAATTTTTTGAATTTTTTAAAATTTGTTATTGTCCTATAGCATATTGGAAAGTGGTCGTATATTTCCTCTCGTGTGGTAATGTCTGTCATTATTTACTGCTGAGTTGGAGTATTTTTTGTGAATTAGGCAAACGGTTTCTAAAAGGAATAAACAAGGTACAGTAAGAACTTTCCGACTGATGAAAAGTGGTTTGCAATGTCTTGTGATTTTGCCCTACATATGTACCTGACAGGCCTTTTTTGTAAAACGAATACTGAATTAGTAGTTGTTGACTACAAAAGCCCCAAAAGGCAATTCCAGATCTCAAGTGCGACTCTATCAAGAAGAAATACACAGTTCTGGTTGAGGATTCATTGAGTTTGTTAGAAACAACTCGAACTGCATAACAGCCAGATGCTATTTTTTTTGCATGAATTTGTTATATGCTCATCAAATTTGAATGTATCACTTATAAATACCCCTAAAAATTTTGTGTGAGTTTTGTTAACTATAGCCTGATTTTCTATAAGTAAGTCGTCAAAATTGAGTTTGAAGCAAACTATGTTTGTTTTATTTGGGTTGAAACATAAGGAGTTTGAATCGCACCACTGTTTAACCCTATAGAGATCCAGAGTTATGATGTCTCTGACATTATCTTCATTTGTCCGACACCAAAGGATCGTGGTGTCATCCGCAAAAAGTGTGAACTTCCCTTCAATGTGAATGGTTACCAGATCATTCAGATAAAGCAGAAAAAGGATAGGTCTCAGAACCGAGCCTTGTGGCACACCTGATCTATTATTCTCAATATGCGATGTATTTTCTTGGAGTTTTACTAACTGCTTCCTGCCTGTTAGAAATTGTAAAGCAAGTTATATGACAATCCTCTAAAGCCATAGCACTGGAGTTTAAATAATAAAGTTTCATGGTTCACGCAGTTGAACGCTTTTAAGAAATCACAGAATACTACCCCAATAGATTCGTTATTATTTAAACCAATATATACATTTTCCAGAAAATAGAAGATTGCCTGTGTTTTTATGGCTTTGGAATCCATATTGAGATTCGCATAGGTAGTATTTTATGGTTACTTAAGAAGTTGAGAATTCTCTTTTTAACCAGTTTTTCAATTATTTTTAAGATTGTCGGAAGCAATGATATAGGCCGGAAGTTTGATGAATTATTCATGTCACCACCTTTATGAAGCGGAATGACTATTACTAGTGTCAGACATGTAGGAAATATGCCAGAATGAAATTATTTATTAAAGGCCTCAACAAGAATATTCAAAGCGTATTCTGGGAGATTTTTTGAAATTTTAACTGATATTTCATCCAAACATGTTCAACCATTCGTCTTTACCTTGTTCATAGGCCTTCAGTTCTTTCGTGAATTTCAAGTAAGATGAAAAAGTTTCAACTAGGAGAATTCATCAACTCCCTCTGAAACTTCAATATGGGCCTTTTCAATTTGTAGTAAAGGCGACGAATCCAATAAATTGCGCTTCCGCTAGGTGGAATATTTTTGCACAAAATTGGATGTATCTTGTTTCTTGTATAATTATCATTGATAGCCAGTACTTCTTTCATACACTGATCTAGAATGACGACGTACTCCAACATCAATTTGTTCGGTATCGTCTGTCTTGTTTCTATATGCTTAAATTTGAAAAACATCTCCAAAGCACTTTTGGAAGATCTAATCATTTTAAAGCTTTGATCAATGAAGATTACTCTTTGTAGAAGTTCTGCATTATAGCTTCCCAATTTTACTTACAATTCACATTGAAAATGTCGAAATCCGTAATTTCGATTTGAACCATTCGTTTAGCCACATTATCTATCTATACTATGAGGATCACTCACTATAGCTCTCTATTCTGGACCAAAAATGTTTTTGAAATGGTGGATAGTTGTTGCTACTTCGTGTAGATCTTTACACACAACTGGCATGTAATCCGAAGCCGAAGGAGTTTCCTTTCGTCGAACTCCCAGTGCCGTTTCTTTCCAGAATATTCAATTTTCTGCATGATGTGAAGATTTCCACGTTTCAAACATTTCTCTCGCAACTGAAGAAGGAATTTTCACTTCATCAATAGGTTTACTGAGATTTCTGGAAAGTACCATAATTTTAGAAACTTTTCTTAAGGCCAGGGAAATTTTCAAGAAATCTGAAGGCCGTTTGAACTCTTGCTTATCGGAGCTGCTGTTCCGATTCGACTCGGGTCTTGTGGATTTTAGTGTCAGTTCCACGAATGATTTGGCCAGTAAGAACGCATATATCTGTTTTTTAAAAAAGAAAGGAATTCAGAAAATTTTCTGTACTCGTTCCGAAGTGAAAGTTAGCTGGCCTTTTTGAATCGGCAATTTCGGCGCTTTCAAAATTAGGAATTTCATCCTGGGTTTTCGATACATATAGACACATCGCTTCATATCTGGAGGAATTGTTTCTTGATGCATTTTGAGGAATCCACCTTGTGAGGCATAGTCGAAAATAGGTTTTTGGACTGAACCGGAATAATTGAATTGAATTGAACTTCAGGTTTTGCTTTCCTCTTTTTTTTCTTTTCCCGATCTTATTTTGTACTACGTTTGGGTTCTGATGCTTCCACATCAGTAGATATATTCTGGAGAGGGCAAAGAAGTTGCAGTTTCAGTAGCTTGTGACTATGTATTCTAATGTATTCTCTTTGGGCTTACGCAGACCTGCTACTTCTCCGATAATTTGTCATTTCTTCCAAATAAATGATGTTTCTGCCACTAGAGATTGTGGACTTTTTAGATGAAGAAAGTCGAATTAATTCTTTTTACAGTCGGACTTCTTTCCTTATTAATTCAGCTCTCCTTCTCTCAATTTCGGCTCTCCTTCTCTCTACTTCGGCCAATTTTCTTAGTTTTTCCAATTCTAATTTCAATATTCGTCGTCTAGAGCCTGAAGATTTCTTAATTTTTGATTTGTTTTCGGCATTACATGGATCTTCTAATGTAGTACGTTTTTGCAACTCCGAAACTTGTCGTGGGTCACAATACACGTCACTATATCTTTCAGGAGGAACTCCTTTAGTTTTTCTCTCACTCCTCCCCAGATTTGGCATAGACGTATTGTAATAGAATACTTTTGATTCTTTTTCTTTTCCTCGAAGGACTGACTAATGTTCGGACTAGTCAGTCCTGCTGTGAAATCCTTTGATTCAAAGTCGAAATAAGCCAGGAATTAAACGTTTCAAGTCAATCTTCATTTTTATAACTTTTTCAAAATCATTATCAATGTCAGAATCGTCTTTTTTTATAAACAAACCATGAACAACAATTTGAACATGCTAAGTGATCAAAAAAGTAATTAAAAGCAAAAACAGTTGATTATTTTTGAAACAGGACATTTGTGTCAATTGTGATAACACAACCAAACGGACAGAACCACAACAAAACAGCAACAGTGCCGATTTCGACAAAACAAAAACGTAAGTTGTCAAAATAAGAAACATTTTGAAAACTTTGTGTCGAGGGCGATTGTTTTGTCAACAAAGAAATGTCCCATCGGCAGGCGGAAAGATCAAAAGGTTTCGGTGTATTGTCTGTGTTTTTGCAAACAGAGTTCGTTATGTGGAGACCGTCGTCGACAACAACAAGCAACTATTCAGATCACTATTTTGTTTTGGCGTGTAAGTTCATGTTACACTCCTTTCGCTTAAAAAATTCTATTATGAAAAAACTGCAGGCCATTATAAAAATATCGTCTAGAGAAGGCATGATGAAATCTGTTCGTGTAGTGGAAACAACAGAAAACATTTCGCAACAAAACATGCTACTCATACTACTTTTTATATGTTTGGTGGAACTCGAGTTTCGAGTTTGTTTTCGAAGCTAAAACAAGTTTTTTGTTTCTGTTTTTGAAAACTAAACTAGTCGCAAGCGAATCCGTTTGGTGGAAATCCGCCTTTATTGATAAGTGAATTGCTAAATTATTTTCGATATGGAAATTGAAAATGATACACTAAGACCATATGTTTTCCAATTAACTGATCTTACGATATTCAAACTGAATATTGAATTTGGCCGTTCCCTTTTAAGAGTTTCTTTTAAGTTATGATGAATCGTCGGAGATAGAAGAAAATCTCCTGAGGTCCTTAAGGTTTTAAAATTTCATGAGCTGACGATTAAAAGATCTTCACTATTCTTCACTCTGTTATCATCCACATTCATGAAATAAGGTAAAACTGGAACTTCTGGCGTAGAATAAATCGAAAACA